GTTTTATTTTCTAGGAAGAATGCAAAATTGTTAAAGAAAAAAAACAAAAAAAATTCAAAATATTTTTAATATATGCTAAATATCTCTAATGTAATTCTGTATGAATATATATTATATTAAATAAACATTGAAAACATCCAATAATATTAGTTTAATTTAAAATCATGTTATATTAGAATGAGATGATCGCTTACAGAGTTTCACCAGCCAGTAGCTTTTAAAAACATTTTTCTCATATAACTGTAAAATATTTCAAGAAGTATGTTGTTTCATACTTTTACTATATAAAATGTTTCCTTGAAAATGTAATATTGCAAAAATATAAATTATAACAAACTATAAATATTACCATCTTAAAATAATTTTTATAACTCTTGGTATTTGGACCTAATTGATTTTAAAGGTTATATCAATTTAATCCCTACTGTACTACATTACGAAATAAAATGAATCAAGACTCTGTACTACTAAAATACTCTAAATTATTTTTTTCTCCTTGAACTTTTATTTCACTTTTCCCAGAGCTTTGGCTTTTTAATGAAATAATTTTTTTCTTCTGAGATTCCTCTATAGGTCATTTCCTTATAATTTTGTGCAACAGAAGTATATAGGCAAATAGAATTAAATGTAGAAGATTCCTGGGGTAGTGAGAAATTATGTTTTTATACTACTTTCAGGTTAAGGATTGCATCATTATGAAAAACTCTTGATAAAAATTAATATGTTGGATACCTTCTACATATAAAAATAAAAAGGTATTGGAAATTGGTATGTTAATAAGATAGATTTTCCTAATGAGATAGACAATTCTTTTTAAGGAAACAAGAGACAACGTTGATAACCACTGTTGATAACCTTGTACTCTGTTCTACACCATGTGCTATGTCTATCCTTGGTTTTGACTGACAGTTTTGTTTTGCCATATTTGACTGTATTCTCTCCCCCCCCAAAAGTAATAAGAACTAAGGAGTAATAAAATCCAAAATGTGTAAATTTTGTTGTAAAAAAGGGAGGGGGAAAAAAGAGCTCTAATGGATATAACAGCAAGTGTGTTTAGGGGTGTTAAATAGCTGACTATATTAATATTTTTGGATCATTGAACACAGCTGTTTGCAGTCTCCCTGTTTGAATGTCCACTTTGTATTCTTTGATACTGTGATTTGAGCAACTATTTTCAAGATGATAGTATGTAATCTATTAACAGGTGATTTCTTACTGTTATGTTTTGTTTTTTTGTAGTTCTGTATTACGTGTACCCTTACACCGCTTTGTTTTGTTTTGTGTTTTTCTCTTTTTCCTCTTAAATAAAAAAAATAAGATAGATTTCCTTTGTTTTCCAACAACTTCTTTTATTTGCTGATGAATTTTTATTCCAACTATCAAATAGTATTAAATATAAGTTTTGTTCTTGGTTTATAGATATTAGATGTCAGAAAATGAATTCACATAAATAAATAAGTGAGAAGTGAAGCCTGTAACAGAAATATCATTCAAATCTTTGAACATCTTCCAAGTTATATGCCAAAACCCACACAGAGATCTATAATAAAAGATTATTATTAATGATCTCAATACAGTTAATATTACCCTTAATGTTGAAAAGACAGAACTGGAAATTACCTGACTTAAAAGTTTTTTAACTCAGCCATTCTTTGTTTTTCAAAATAATCACCAATATTTAAGTTTCTTTCTTGTTTAGTGGTCTGAGGATCTTTTGGTTTCAGTTTATTGTTCTGATTGATTTAATTAGATATGAGAGGCAAACTATAACACACATTACTCAGAGAGCTAAAAATATTCACTCACAATTAACATCATTTTGAAAAATATCTGAAGCTCAGGGATCAGTAAACTCTAGAAAATTAAGAGTTGTATGACTTTCTTCATGAAATTCCTTCTAAGAAAAAAAGAAATGAGTACTGTGGCATTTCCATGGTGGACACACACTCTGGCATATTCATTTTAGGGTACAGTAAGTCATCACTTGTACCTTTAGAAGTGCTGACTGGACAGCTCCGAGGAAGGATTAGAAATTCACCACTTTAGTTGGAAAATATCAATTACCATCCAACAGGACCATCTACCAGAGTCCAGTCTTCTTTTTCCACAGACCTTATCACCTACTCTTACTTAATAAACTTTCTCCCATCTCCCCACTTCTTCTGTATTTGTTTTTACTTCTAAGATTCATAGAGTTAACTAAAATAAATTTTGAAAATATTGGATTATATTATTTTTCTGACCTTTTGCCTAAGAGAGGCAGCTGAAAAATAACAAAATGCCATATGAAATTATGATAAGATTGACAATGATGAGGATAAAAGTTATATTACATTAATATGCTGGTCCTTTTAAAAAGGCTTTTAATACATTAATACTTGTAAGTCTGAGAATAGCTTAAAGATTTGTACAGTTACTCCTCTCATTCCACAGATGAGGAAACTAAGAAATAAACATGGTAATCAAATTTGTTTGTATTTTACCCAAAGCAATCTAATTGTTATGACTATTCACCTATTATTATCCATTAAGATATCATCCAGATAAGTAAATTTATTTCTAGGAAGATGGACAATATTTTAAAAAGATGATGTGATTAGGTGTTGCTTACAAAGAACTGTCATTTTGTTATTACTCTTACCAAAAATCTGTGTTCATCTTTATCCTGTGAAGAAACTATAGCTTTTTAAAAAGTGATTTTGTAGGTACATTTTAGATATAAACAATGATCATATTAATCGTAAGGAATGTGTAACTATACATGATATAATTTGACTTTTTTACCATTCCCCTACTCTCTCTCCAACCCCTTTTTCCCTCATTGTTTATCAGAAACAAGACAAGGATGTCTACCATCACCACTCCTATTTAATATAGCTCTGGAAACATTAGCCAGAACAGTTAGACAAGAGAGAGAAACAAAAGGAACAAGGTTAGGAAGGGAAGAAGTTAAAGTATCATCATTTGAGAATGATGTGATATACTACATAGAAGACCCCAAAAACTCCCCCAGAAAATTTCTAGATTTAATGACCAAATTCAGTAATGCAGCTGATACAAAGTCGACATTATCAATAGGCTTCCTGTATATGAACAACAAATTCACTGAGAAAGAAATTAAAGAAACAACATAGTTCACAACAGGCTTAAAAATGAAATATGTAGAAATCAATCTAACAAATAAAAGATCTATGTTGACAACTACATACTCTGAAAAAAAGAGATTGAAGAGAATATTAAAAATTGGTTAGAGAAAACAATTCTAAAATTCATTTGGAACCAAAAGAGTTCTAGAATATTACAGGCAATTCTGAGCAACAAATGTAAGACAGGGGCATCACAATTCCTCACTGGAAATTATACTTCAAAGCTACTGTAATGTAAACAGCATGATACTGGTAAAAAAAAATCAAACCAAAACAACAACATCAAAAACATACCCAAGGTCATTAGAACAGAGCAGAAGGTGCAGAAACAACTCCAGATATATTTATACATTCATTGGGAAAAGCCACTTAAGCAGTGCTGGGAAAACCTGGCTTTTCATATGCCAAAGGTTAAAATTAGACCCATGTCTTTCATCATGCACTAAACTAAAATTGAAATGGATCAAAGATCTAAATATTAAGACAGAAACATTAGATCTGATGGAAGATAGAATAGGTAAAATTCCTGAAGATATTAATGTAGGCAAAGACTTTATGAACAAATCCTCAGTCACATTGGAACTATCACAAAATCCAATTGGAATTTCATCTTCTTAAAAAGCTTTTTGCACAGCAAAAGAAATCATCAACAGAATAAAGAGACAACCCATAGAGTGAAAAAAAATTGTCAGCTGTTTCACAGACAAGGGATTATTATCTAGTATATATAAAGAATTCAAAACAATCAGACTCCTCTAATTTAAAAACCCAGTCCAAAAATGAGCATCTAAAATGAATAGACATGTCTTAAATGAAGAAATAGAAATGGAAGATAAATACATGAAAAAAATGTTCAACATCATTGGCCGTTAGAGAAGTGCAAATTAAAGCAGCTCTAAATGGCTGTTATTATCCAGAAAAATGGCTGTTATTAAGAAGTCAACCAATAACACATTTTGGTGGGGCTATGGGGAAAAAGGAATACTTCTCCATTGTTGATGGCAGTGTAGACACTGTGGAACCACTGTGGAGATTAGTGTGGAGATTCTTCAAAAAACCTAGGACTAGAGGTTCCATTTGACTCAGTTATGCCCCTTCTTGTTATCTTCCTGAAAGAATTAAAAACATCATACCACAGTGATATATGTACATCCATGTTTCTGGGTGCATAGTTTGTAGTAGTCAAATCTTTGAGAATAACTAAAATGCCTATCAACTGGTGAATGGATAAGGACTATGTGGATTTTTTAAGCAATGGAGCACTACTCTGCCAAAAAATAAAATAAGCTTGAGACATTTCTAGGTAAATGCATGCAATCTGAGAACATATTCTTAAGTGAAATAAATTGAGCACACATATAAACACTGCATTGTTTCTCTGTTGTGAGAAAACAAAGTGCAAATAAGGACCAAAATGTATAATAGATATTGTGAAATAGGAGGAAAATATTCAAATGAGAAGGAGATAAAGGAAGGTGGGAGAGGGAAAGAAGAAAGGGAAAAGCTAAAAATGAGAAAAGAAGAAAAAAACTGGAAACAAAACTACAGTTTCTTAAGTGTGTAAAATTAATATAAATAATTTGGAGAAATTCCACACCGTCTACTTTGCATAAACTTTTATATAGTTCTATCAGAGATGAAAGTTTATGAATGAAATATTTAGTACACTTGCTTTTTCAGGAAAATATTATTCTACTTAGAATGTGAACAATATGTTTGGATACATGAAGAGAAATAACTTTTTTTAATATTTGAGCTACAATTTCCAATAAAATTAACACTATATAGGAAAGTTTTCAAATTAATAATTATCCATTAACTTATAAATTGGTTGGTTTTAACATTATGTGATCAGTGCTCACTTTGGCAGCACATGTACTATAATTGGAACAATACAGAGAAGATTAACACAGCCCCGGCACAAGGATGACACACAAATTTGTGAAGCGTTCCATATTGTTTGGTTCTATCATGCAGTATCTTATTGGATTTTATCATGTGTGGTAGTATAAACAAATTTTTTATGGACAATGGGATAATATAGTAACCATTGTTCATTTTCTGTTATTTGGTTCTGAATACCGTGTAATACTTTCACTCTCTTTAATGGTTTTATACTACTTTGTTATGTTTGATACTATTGTGTATGTGTATTGTGTATGAAGCATATGAAGGTATGCTCAACTATTTCAAAGAAAGAGACATTATGGTAGCTACTGTTATATCGGATTGTCCTGTGGTGAAATACTGTGTTGTCTAAATTGTTCTATTCTGATCTGTTTTGTTATGTCCTCTTTTATCTTAATCTCTTTACAATAAAAAAATATGTGGTCATTGTAAGATATTTGATTATTTTTGTCAATTTTGGTTTTTTAAAGTTTAATTTTTTTTATTTTTCAAAAGCAAAACAAAAAGAGTAGAAAAAATACAAAATTTCAAAAAAAATAAGAAATCATTAGTTAATATATACTGTTATCTTAGAAGTAGTTCAAGTTACAAAATGTAAACATAAAAAATGAACAATCATTGACAGCAGAAACTACTCTTCTTGATGGACTAATAGAACTACTAGCATGATTATCTATCTTGCACACTTAAACATACAGTTATATGTGTACACCTACAAGTTGTTCTTTCCTTTTGAGCACTTTCTTTCCCTTTCATTATTATAATATGTCTTGTACATTTTGAATCTTATTACTCTTTCAGATTATTATTATTATTATTATTATTATTATTATTTTACACTAGAGAGACAATACAAAACTTGCAAATGTATTTATTTCACTTATGAGTATAGTCTTACATTGTCTCCATTTACCTATAAAACCCTCAAGACCATCCTTCTGATAGCTAATATTCCATTGTATTTGTCAACTTTATTTAGACTATATTTTCTTAATATTCACGTGAACACACTTTACAAATAATTGGAATTTATAAAAGGAATGTTATTTTGTGACTATTATTTCATGGTTGTTAGCTTATAAAGAAATATGCTTGTGAAGAAAGAGTTTTAACATTAATATGGTGTGACTACAGGAAGAATAATACAGAATGCAGTAAATGAAATGGCTTATATAATTACAATTAAACTATTTGTGAATTACTCTTAGCACTATAAAAATTATTTTAATAACGTGATATTTGATTCCACATATGGAAGTTCCTGTGTCTCTTAAATCGTCAACCATATTTAAACAGCTCTCAAAATCTGTAGACTATGATTTGTAAGATATTTATTGGTGAGGGATTTTTCCTTGTTCATTTGCTTTTTTGTTATGCTCTCAAGGGATAATATCCATCAACAGAATAGACTGTAATTAAAATAATTAGATTAATAATGTATCTTGCACTATGGTAAAGTATATTTTTTACAGTAAATATAAATCAACCATTGTTAGAAAAGACATCTTTGCAATTTTTTTCATTTTTTGATAAAGTAAATTGTATTTTTTTACTAAATTCAAAATTTCATGTTTTATCTTCAAAGAAATACAGTGAGAAATTAAAAAGAAAGTGACAAATGCACAAAATTAAAATTGTGTAAAATTCAGGATACTAGACACCTAATTCTATCCAATGGTTATGAAAATATACATCATTTTTAAAAAGATACTACTGTGTGCTGATAGCACACAAAAGTCTCAAACCCAAAAGCATGCATGGCCAAGATGTTTACACTTGCGAAGCAGTATGCTTGCCTACATGAGAGAGATGGGCTATGTATTTGCTGTATGAAAGGGTCAGCTACTAGTTAAGATGGGTTAGGTTGCTGAGCTTCCTGTAATTCAAGGGAAGACAGAAATATGTTTGTTTCTCAGTGTCAAAATTTTCCAGCTTTTCAATATTGGCCCTTAACTCAGTTGTTAAAGTATGTTGGTAGTTTAGCTTCAAGACAGCCACCATAGATTCTTTGCGACTTGTACGCACAAACCGCTGTCTTCTGGAGTGTTTGCACAAGTGACACTGTGTTGGCCTTAGACGTGTCATATTGTTCTAAGTCACAAATCATTGTAGGCAACAACCGACTATATGGGCTTGCTTAGAAAGGCCTCAAGCGTAGTATAATGCCATTTTCTCACTGTTGTGAAATTTTTAATAATTCTAGAGGGCATCGGCCCAAACTTCTATTTTATACAAATTACATAAAGTGACCTGAAGATAGCTCATAATCTACCCTCTCTTCTTATTGAGAATTTTAGGCTACCCTTCTGCAAAATATGGTTTCATGGAGGCACACAAAAGCATTTAGCATGTGAGTAAAGAAAGCATTTTGTCTGTTAGACTAGTAAAGTTGTTCAATGAGCTGGATCAGGTGCTACGTGACTGAAATCTTGTAATACCTAAGTGAGGACAGCCTAGTTACAACCAGTCTACAATAAAACCAAAAGTGAGCTCAAAACTAAACTGCTTTAGAGGATTACATCTTGGGTTTCTTTGTGAGGCAGGAGGACTGAAACAGTGTTTTAACAGGCAGTGTATTGGCTCTACAAACATGGGTCTGTGGATCTCAAACTTGTGGCTGGTTCACAGGCTTTTGGTACATATTTATTAGCCCACTGCTTACCAGGTCGATCAGCTACCTAGATATTTTCATCATGGTATAATTTTATTTGGGTGTTTGAAACGATTTTTAGATTAATTATATTCCTTTAAGGGAAGAGTTCAGACAATAGGTTTTATTTTTCTCAATTGGAATTGTTTGATATTAGACTAAAATGCTTCGATTTGAGTTAGATTTACCAGTCAATTGATATATGTATTTCATTAGGCAGGTTGCCAAGGCAAAATTTCTTGCTTTTCTTTTAAATACAAAAATATAACTGAAATAATTGTTTCATTATTGAGTTACTCCACTTTCCTTTCATAAAGATATACCTAACAAGCCATCAGTCTTCCACTGCAGTCCAATTCCTAAATTAACATCATCACATTTTTCATGGAACAATTACCCCAAACCTATGGCCATACACTTGAAATCATTTGAGAAAGCAAATTTAACAATTCTTTTCCATGTTTTTGTCTTAAACATGCATCTAGAAGTATATTGCTTGAAATACATTCATGTATTTCTCTCACATTACTATGATTGACAAATAACCTATATTTGCCTGTTCCTTTCTATTTGAAGTTCAAGGAAATTTGATAAATGAAATTTGATCCAAAATAGAAGAAACAAATATTTAGTTCTTTATACAACTTGGTATTTATTCCAAGTCACAAAGAAAATTTATTTTTATATTTCTTTCTAAAGATTTCTGGGATTGCATTAGCCTGGATTAGTGTAGTTCTTTTGTTTAAAATATTATTGTGTAAGCAATAAATTTAGCAAATAATTAAGGTAGGGATTTGAATGTGCAACACCATGTACTCCTGTCACACATATTCAAGTCCTTATCTAGCATATTTCAGTGGAGGTTATGGTCTTCTTTAATTATTTGCCCTGTTGGATATGACTCTGTTACAGTTAGTCAAGCGGTTCAAATAATATCAAGTCATACAATTAGTAGTGATCAACATCACTTAAATTTTCACAGTGTCAATTTCTGACAACTGCAGTATAAGAGTTTTTATATACAAAGAAGGAACATCTTGGTGAAAATACATACTAGTTGCCACGTGTTCAGTTTCATTTTCCAGTTTTGACACTCATTTTCTGTATGATTAAGAACAGATCACAGGACTCACACACTTTAATTACTTCTCCAGTGAATATAATACAATCCAGTTGGGAAAATGTCTTGATAATCTCTTCAGTAAAGTGAAAATTCATATTTATAAATTCAATTAAATTTGAGTTGAGAAATGATTATTTTCTTAGTGTAAAATAAATGAGGTTTGATCACAGTCAAAACAGAAGAAATAAAGCCTTTATTCAGATGAACCAAAACCATTCTGATGTCTCTAAATGCATTCTTGAGATCAAGTGAAAGTGAACACAAAAATAAATTACTGACATTAAAACAACACTTGACTAAAGTCAACTGCATTATTTTCTTTTGTGTATACATTAAACAAAAAATTGAAATCTATGGCTGTGAATTCCATGTGAATTTCAAGACGCTTTAGAGGGTTTTATATTCAACTCATTTAAATTCTCAATTTAAAGGCATCTTAAAATGTAAGTTGGAAAACTAAGTCAACAAAAGATCTTAAAATTGAAGCACATGGCATTCCGACTCACTTTTATAGCATTTTCCTTGAATTTAGAATTCAATATTTGAGACTATCAGCTTCTAATTTTAAATACGTTTATGTACTTGTCAGCCAGTTAGCTATAAGGTGCTGGGGCAGTGATTTTCAATTTCTTGAAAATCCCCTTCTCTCTTTTTCTCTGTATCAAAACAACAGCAACAACACAACAAAAATTAGGAACACAACATCTTTAATGTGCAGAGTCTTGGAGACAGAAGCAGCTATGTCTTCTGATATCAATCTTTCCTTCTTCTTTCACCAGTGACTCCAATGTGAAATTGTGCAACATTTCACATTGGTAGGTATTATAGTTCTTTCCATCAGGAACAGTCTACATTTGTTCAAAAGTGACATTGGTATAGATTTTATGCTAGAACATAACTTCTTTTTTGGTAAGATGTAAGATTAAACCAAATCTAAAGGGAACAAAGATTACCATTTTCAGCTCTTAAATTAATCATACTTTTCATTATTATAGGGAAACTTCCACCTGAGAGACAATATTTACATTCCACTATCTTTCCAGCATAACTGCTTTAAGCATTAATGAATCATTCATTCCAAAGCCGATTCAATTTTGTATGATTATTTTTTGGAAACATTAGCCAACTGTTTAAATGTATATAGAGAGTAGAACATGTTATAATCATGATTGGTAATCTAAAAACTCTTTATTTTACTGCCATTTTACCCTAATGATCTTAATGTATTTGTGATTTTTTTCTCCTTTCTGAGTGGAGATCATACTGGAATTACTAGATTC